TCGGTCTTCAACACCAGGCTCAGTTTGGCCGGGCTGCTCCTGTTCTGGTTGCTCCTCTCCGTCAGTATCTTCCCTGGCCTCTTCCTCTTCAAGCCCTTCCTCGGCCTCAGCCTGCAATGCACTAAAGACGTCATTGGCATATGGCACGAGGTAGGCCGGCAGGGAAACAGGCAGCGGGGTGGCAAAGACGTCAGTATCAGGACCCTGACCGAGATGCTCGCAGGCAGACTTCCAACCCGCTTTGAAGTAGATGTCTTGGGTAGCGAAGACCTACTTCTTGTAGCTTTTCTCGGCTTCTAGGAAGCCGGCGTTGTTTGCATCTCGGCAGTCCTTCTTCCTTGACTTTTTTAGAGCGTCCAGCTCGGCCTGGAGCTCATCGCGCTTCTTCTCGGCCTCGTCAAGCTGACCGTGCAACCTGTTGTTGTCAGCATTGGCGATTTGGAGAGATGCTTTTGCCCGGCCAAGCTCAGCTTGGAGGCTCTGGACTTGGCTGGCTGTGTCATTTGCCTTTTGCCGAAGTCTGTGGATGCGTTCCATTACCAGGTGTTGCTTTTGGATAGCCTTCAAGAAACGAATTTGATTAGTGAAGGAACCGGGCAAACACTTGTAAAATTTCAGTGGAAGTTGGATCCTTACCCTGGTCATGGATTTCACTTCTGATTTCACCAACCGGGTGTCAGGGACGTGATCGCTGCCAACCAAGTCACTTGGCAGCAAGAGAGCTTTCGAGAGGTCAAAGGCCAACAAGTGCTCCTTATCGCCCTTGACAGAAGCATTTGCCGGGATATGTTAACCCCGGTGCTTGAGCTGCGACCGCCATGGTGGAATGGGATTAGCAGTGTTGGTGGGCTGCTTGGTTGTTAGCTCGGCAACCAGCTCGGCAGTTGGATCTGCGCGAGGTCTTTTGCCTGCCCGGCGGGGTTGGCTGGATTGCCCGGCAGCTGGAGATGCCAGGGCAACCACAGGGCTGTTGGATTGACCAGCAGTATGAGACGGGGGAGAAATGCTTGGTATTTCGGCGGATGTGGCTGTGAGGAGATTCTTGATGCAGCTTCTTTTAGCCATCTCTTGATCCTCGGTCAGCCGGATTAGCGGAACGTCTGGTAGATTTGGGTCTGGAGGAGGAGTTGAAGCGCGGAGAAAGTCTGTAACTTTACTCCGGCGTGGAGCTGAGTATCTGTAGGTTGGAGTGTAACCGAGCAGCTCCTTGCAATCTCGGTGGCGACAGCGGAGCACGGTCCGAATTGCCTCTACGTTGGGAAATTGGTAGTTGGCTTGCAAGGCTTGGATTGCTACAAAAGAAACAAGAAAACTGGTTAATTACAGAATAAAGAAGGTAGGCTGACCGAGCAAGTTTGAGCGGCTTACATGAGGAACCGAAGTTCTTGCTTATAAACCAGCCCGGTCCGTCGGCTGTTTCGTAATTGCCCGACACCCAGAAAAAATCGTCATCGTGCAAGTCTTTATCTGGGGTGCCGGTTACAATTTTCTCCTTGCCCGATCTGATTTTCAAATAATAGGCTAGGTCGTCACCGGTGTGACCCATCGTGTATTGCCTTAATATCTCGGCTAAACCTAAGTTGGTGCCTAGCCGGTTGTTCAGTTCATGGACGCCGTTGATAATTCGGTAAGTGTTGGTGGACACTTGTGTGGGTGCCAGCCCGGTACGGCGGAGGAACTCGATGATAAGTGGGTTGAGTGGGAAGCGGAGGCCTCCTTCGATGATAGATAGCACGGTGAAGGGGCATTGTTCTGATTTGTCCCAAGGCGTTGTTTGCTCTTCTGTAAGCTCAAGGTGGACGTCGGCCGGGATGCCGTACTCCTCCCTGAACACGGCCAAGGCAGCCGGGGTATCTACGAGGAAGTGGAATTTTCCCATTTACGATCGGCTAAATTAGCTCGGCTGTGGTTTGGCACTGTCAGGTGATTTGTGGCTGCTCGGTCTTTGGGAGCCTCAGGAATGGTCAGTGGTCCCCTTGGACTCTGCAGGAAAAGGAAGACAAGTGTAAGAGGGAGCGCGGTCGCGTAAAGCGAGCTTGCCTTTAGCTCGGTCGTCTAGAGTGCCAAACCACCTCGGTCGTAGAGGCTAACCAAGGAGCTCGGCCACCCCAGCAGACCAGATTTTAGCCCGGTTGAGCGGCCAAGACCTTTGTTATCCCGGCTCTTGCTATGGTTAAGTCTAACAGGTTATTTGCTCGGTCGGGATGGTTTTTGGATCAAACGAAGACCTGGAGCCCAGTCCGCCCCAGTTCTTCGAAGTTCATCAGCGAAAATGAAGAACACCATGAACAGTGGGAGGTTTGGGACGATTTCTATGGCCTATACCCTAAGAACTACGTTTTATTGCCCTATTGTGTGAAATATCAAGGAAAATAACAATAACAAGGGTTGGAGAGCTTACCAATATGGTGCAGTGACTGCTTCTTCTTCGAGCGCAAGTTCAGGAATGGCAGAGGAGAGACAAGAGCTCTAGGTTGCTTGGAATGGCAGTGAGTCAGTAAGAGCTCAAGGAAGATGAGAGGGGAGATGTTTATAGAGGAGACGAGACCGCCCAAATTCAAATTCTGGCAAGACGGCGGATTGGCTGCTCGAGAACCAATGGCAGCCCGCCACGTGTCCCCATTTATGACAACGTCAGAACTGAAGAGACATGTTGAAGAGTTGAGTCAACCGGGCTACTTTTGAAGAAGAGGACGTCAACTGAGGAGTATAATCGGGCAAGTTTGCAGACAGGAATGTCAACTAGCCTAGTCGCCATTTCGCATTCTGAGGACCGAGGAAGTGTTATCCCGGTCAAAATAAGTAATCCCAGTCACACTTTTGCGGACGGAATTAAGGGGCAATTGAGAGGGAGATTTATGATCTGAGATTGGGCCGTGACGTTAGCCGGACAAGATTTGGGCCGAGGTATTGGGCTCCAAGATCAGGCCGTGATATTGCTCGGTAATGGCAAAGCCCATGTGGAACCGAGTTATATGATCTCGGTTCCGCGAAGGCCGGACAAGTGGAGGAACAACCTAGATAAGGCTCCCCGGCTCACGCGTTGCAAGGTTGTAATGCACGCACCTTAACCCGGTAGGAAGGCCTGTGCTTGGAGCTTGGCCGAGAAGGTCTTTGGCTGACCGGCGTTACCAATCTCCAGCTCAGCTTCGCCAGAATACAGTTGAGCACGGCTGGAATTAAGCCCGGTAGTAGGAAACTACGACATCAACTGCACTTGGGCATGTTCAGTATGGCCATTGATAGCCGAGATAATGTTGCCCGGCTGCCGTGCTCCCAGCAGAGTGGGCTGGCAGTTGGGTTAGGTGATGTATAGCAAGATTTGTGCTGACAGATGGGATAACAGAGCCACGTGTCGAGAGACTGAGTTTAGGTGATATTCAGCAAGGTTTATGCTGACAGATGGGATTGCAGAGCCACGTGTCGGGAGATGACTGGGAGTGGATATGAGGCACAGAGGGTATATAAGCATGTCTGCGCCCCCCATACGCGACAGATGAACACTTGGTAAGGAATTTCCTACACTAAAACACCTCCCTCCCTCTTTCTCTCTGTCTCAAGGTGTGTGCTAACTTGATCGTCGGAGAGTTTTTCCGGCCACACACCGCCGGGTAGCTCACCGTTATTTGCTCGCAAGTGACCGGATAGAAGCGGAGCCTGGAAGAAAGGAGTGCGGGCTCGCCTGAATATTTGCTCCTCGTACAGTGTCGCTTATGGTAATGGTAGTGTAGATAGATTGATAGTGGTTGTGGTGATGTTAGAATGATAATTTCGTGGAGATATTAAATAAAAAAAATATAGGTGGCGGCGATGGTGTAATAATGGTGGTTGTTTGTGGTGGTAGTTATGGTAGTGATGGCAATGGTTGTGAAAGTGAAAGGTTGTACTAGTTATTGTAGTGGTAGTAGTAATGGCAATGATGACTATAGTGGTAATGTGGTAGTGATAGTAAAATGATTTGCTTATAGCAACAATGACAATAGTGATGAAGGTGGTGGTAGTAGTAGTGGTGGTTGCAATGGCATAATGGTGATGGTGATGGTGATGGTGATGGTGGTAGTAGTGGTAGTGGTGATAGTAATGGTGGTGGTAGAAATAGCAATAGCGGCGGCGGCGGCGATGGTGGTGACAGTGGTAAGCTGGTGGGGTTTGTGGTGGTAATGGTAGCGGTGATGGTAATAGTAACAGTGATAATGAATTTATAATAGTGTTTATTGGCTCTTATGTTTAGTATTTATAAGTTCAGTCAGAATTAAATAAATTTTATATAGTTTAAAAAAAATTAACTTTTAATTTATATTTTAAGAAGTATTTAAAATTTTAAATGATATCAATTAAAATTATCAAACGAACTTAATTGATTATCACTTAATACATTCAATTTTAAATGCTTAATTGATTAATTATAACTGAGGCAACTATATATAATGATCACAAAAATAAAGTTCAAACCAATATATAACAACTAGTTAAAAAAATAAATAAATAAATAAACCAATATAATAACCATAATCGGGCATCTGTAAAAATTTTGAAGTATAAAATATTTTGAGATTTCATTCCCGATTGACATATCGACCATTAATCTCTACTATTGATATATATATATATCAATATATCGATACCATATTATTTAGGAATAATTTCATATCAGTGGATATTGAGAAAAATATTGTCCAACATTAAAATGTAAAATCATATACTTTTTCATGAATTTCTAATTAATTTTTGAAGATATCTCCAATATGTAAATTCTCTTTTTATTTAAAGATCTTACTAACAAGTAAGTGTCTTAGGGTACAAGTAAAAGATAAAATATTTGTAAAACACAATATACTTTTTACTAATTTTAATACAATTTTATTAAAATCAATACATTTTTTAAATATTTTTATTTATTTTAAAATATTTTTTACTCACTTTTCAATATTAAATAATACCCATACAGCATTAGCATTTGGCTTATTAAAAAAACGGATGAATCTAAACATGCATTGCAGGTGGGAGAAGTTGGTGAGCTGTCTGAGATATTTCAGTGGAAAGGAGAGGTACCAAAGGGACTGCCTGATTGGACAGAAGAAGAGAAAGTGCATTTGGGTGAAGAAATGTCAGATGTTTTGCTATACCTTGTCATCCTCTCTCACACATGTGGTATTGATCTTGGTAAAGCTGCTCTAAGAAAGGTTGAGCTTAATGCTCTTAAATACCCAGTCTCCCTCACCAAAACTTCTTCAAAATAAACACAACATTGCCTCCCAGAGTACTGGTTTTTTCCTCCTATTATAGTCTGTGAAAGCCCCCTCCACTATGTTAATAATGGGCCTTGTTTGGTAATAGCTGTTTTGTGCTTTTCAGTTGTGGTTTTTTTCTTCTCCTCAAATCACTTGAAAAACCTCAGAACTCAATTTAAAAGTTGTTGTTTAACAAGGTTTAGTGTTATTTAGTTGGCAGCAATTCTCAGAGAGACTGATAGTGATATCATAAAGATTCACATTTCAATGTTCAATAAAGCCATCATGTTCGCACACTTATCTTTTGTGCTACGGGCCTTGAATATTGAGGCGTGAATTTGTCTCGAATTTGTTTAACCGGTAGCCCGGCTGGTCATTCGGCCGGTCATTCGGAAAAGAGGTTGATAGTCGCGGTCGATAAGGTGACAACCGCGGTAGACAAGTACTTCACCTGGTCATCCGAGTGGTCATTCGGCCGATCGTCCGGTGACCACAAATTCGTGCCATTCGCGCCTGAAGCTGTCGAGGCCTGAGGCATTAGTCTTTCTTTTAATAGATTAAAAGTGAAGTATGAATCTAATTATTCTTGTTATATAAATTTTATTTTTGATACATTAGGCAAATAAATGTTTTGATCAATTATAGTAAATGTCATTGTAATCTTGTTAAATTATTTACAAAATATGCTTTTGATAATAGGAAATCAAATGTAATGTTAACTTGCATTTTTTTTTTTTTCGAACTAAAAATGGTTTAGAATTCATCGATGTAAATATATTGTTGGCCAATAATATTTCTTGAAATGTTGACCATTTAATTTACATTGAAATTATATTTTTTTAATGACAATGTTATGGAGTGCAAAAAAATTGTTAGAAAATAATGTAGACTAAATTCAGTTTATGTGCAACAAACATCACATCACATCACATCAAGTTAAAATCTACCCACACTTTTTTCTAGCAAATTTATAAACTACTTTTAAAAAAGAAAATTTAAATCCTTAACTTTTTCCTACTTTTAATGTTAATCAATAAATAAAAAATTAGGAAGAGATTTCTTTACAAATTTGTGTGAGTTTGAAAATTCCAACAATTTGCTTGCTAATTAATGTAATGATCAGGGGAAATTTTGAAATTTTATTAATATAACTAAACCCCAACTAAGTTTAAATAATTATGATAAAGCCCCTACGTTTTTCCATACATTTAAGTTCAAACCTTCATCAGTTATTTTTCTACATGATATCGGTCGTCTTGGTTTGCATCCATCTAAGCCCTATTCGACCCAAGATCAGAGAGATGGACTCCTCGGACTCGATATTAGATGTTACAATGTTAGTGCAGTGTTATTTATCAGTTTTGTAATAATATATTTTGTCATGGCAATTTTTTTTTATCACAACCGGATTATGATGGAGTAGTTTAGTGTGTAAGACATTTTGGTAATTTGACATAGTGAATCAGCCGGGCACATCGAGATTGAAAGTTTTGCTCCATTACCCATTAAGGTAAGGTTTTCATACATGTTTTCAATGCATTGAAAAAGGTTTTTCGAAAGAGTTTCAAAGATACACTAAAATCTTGTTTGAAAAAGTGATCCATTTTGGGAGCGATTGATTGCATTCTTGGGACCGATTGATCACAAATCTGATTTTCATTAGACCTATTCCAAATTGATTTTGGATGCTGATTTTCTATATAAAGACTTTCATAACCCGTATTTCAGTATTCCAACTAGGTGCTTGCACAACCACAATAATTTATACTCTACACAAATTTTGAGTATATATATTTGTAAATCAAAGTATAAAAAATGCAGCGGATAAAAATAAGCAGATCATACCTTTAGATGATAGAACCTCATGGGTAAATCACGTGTTTTCAGAATCTGATAAACCAACTCAACAGTGAAGTGATATTACAGCATGAATATCACCCACACAAATCAAAGTGCAAATGACTTGATCGTTGTTTTTGGGAGAGCGTCAGTATATGGGTAAAACTCAGATCATACGTTGTTTCTCTCTTAATCACCCATAACCCATATACCAGATATATAATGTGTTATTATTATCTATCCATATCAGTTAATGGAGATAATATCTGTATCCTGAGTGGTTATCCTAAATAGGTTTGAATTCAATTTCAAAACCTATTTGGATAAGGTTCAAATTCAAATTCAAATGGTTATGCCACATGGGCACCCATTACTAACATCTCCCACTCGCACATGAGTTGGCATGACACTGCCACATCTCTATCTCAATCTCCCCAAAAATGAACAATCTCATACTAGCCAATGCACCGTGCGACCGCTGAGAACACCTGCATGGGGGAGCTCTATACTAGAAACTCAAAATGAGCCAGCATAGAGACATCAACCCAAAAAAGAAAAGAAAAGTGTCTCATGTACCTGTAACCACTGTTCATTCAATAGACCATTATCAGAAGGAGCTACAAAAATAAAGTACAAGGTTTTCTCTGTTCAACAAAACAAACACAATGCAATCACAAAATCCTTCTTGTTCTTCTTCTTCTTTTTTTTTCTTTTTTTTTTTGCCCTTTCTCAATTCAATAAAATATTTGGAATGATTTTGTAATTTCACAGGAAAACTAAAAATCATCTCAACATTTTGAGATAGATAGATGAGAATTATTCACAAATTATAGAATTCAGCAACTTTGACCACAGTTTTTGATCTGATTCCCCAAAGAACTGAGACCCCAAAAAATCGACTCCAGTGGCCAAATTTCTTGGGAAACAAACAATTGAACACATTGCAAGGCAAGCTGTTCCAATTCCACTAAACAAAACAATCAAAATGCTAATTCTATACCAGAAACCCCAAATTTCCTCATATAGTGTTTGTGTGTGGGATTAGGAATGAGATAGAAGAATTACTTACATAGTCAAATCGAAACAACAGATCAAAGTGTAATGTTCGTGATCATCGGTCCTACATAGCCGAAATTAATGAAAATATTCAGCACTTGTCTACCGAAATAAGTTTCAAAGACAAGTCTATTATGCCATCTTGACTAACTTGGAGATGTCTTCACTAAGTGAATGATTCAAATTGTAAGATATCTTTACCTATGCATAAGGCTGTCAAGTGAACCAAGAGTCATCATCTGGTATTTTGAAAATGGTGCGGGAATATTGGAGAATTTTCAAAATGGTTTTTAAAATGTATAGTTTAATTTTTGGGTGTTTTCAAAACCTTCCTTGTTTTTCTTTATAAAGCTTGAAATAAGCTTGGAGACTTTGTCCCATATCGAAAAGAGAGGAAAACATGAAGCACTTAATAAAGTGCTACATGGAATATTCCTTTGAATATGAAATTGTGGGGTAAAAGCTAGTGTGCATGCATCGACACCGCAAGGATGGTGCTTCGCACCATCCACACACGTGCATGTGACATGGGTAGTAGGCTGTGTGGCGTTTGATGGCGCACTTTACACTTAGCACAGGCGCCATGAGGGCACTTTTCTATTTGCATCAGACAGGGTGGAGTGATGACGTGGATCCAACGTGACATGGATGACGTGGAATACAGTCACCTTCACGTGGCAGTGACGTGGCGTCTATTGGCGATGAGTCAACCAACCGATTGGACGGTTGTGTGTCCGATCTGGAGTGGTTTGATCATAGCCATTGATTGGAGATACGCGTGATCGTACGAATGAGATGGCACCCGATCATGATCGAGTGTGATTAGTTAAGGCATTTATTTGGTGTAAGAATGATCTGCACCGTAGATCATCGATCTAACGATCAGATCTGATCGGATGCAATCAAGGGACATGACCGATAGATCAAGGCCTATAAATAGGCTATAAATTCAGTCATTTTAATCCATCCAAAAATTCAGAAGGCATTCTTGCAATTCTCTCTCTCTCTCTTGATTTAGATTTTTTGATCAAGAGTTTCTTAAGCAAATTTCTGTTTTTCTTACTGGTAATCAAGTTGTGCAGATTTTATTATCAGTGTATTGGTTTTCTTGATTATATCAAAAGTATTCTGATCTACTGTTGTCAGTGCAGATGTCGATAAACTTGATCTTTAGATCAAATTTCACTGTATCCTGGAGGTAAATTTGTTGTAACCTCTGCACACCTTTTGATGGGTGCAAATATTGTCTTTAGGAAAGCAACTTAGTAACGTGACTTGAAGTACCAAATTTCTGTTTTACATAGACAAAATCATCGCCAAGTTTTGAAGACCCGAAAACCACCAACTGAGGAATTCAAGACGAATTGTTCCAACATATTTTCCACCTTTTTCACTTCTAATTCTTGACTCAAACATCAGTCTAAGGGTCAAAACCATGCTCAGTACTTGAGTTTGAGCTCCAGCCTAAGCGTCAATTTTTTATTTATTTGTCTTTTTTGATGATGTGGTTGAAACCTTGGTCTCCGTTCAATTGTAGTCGAAACTCTACACTATCTCAAAAATTTGTAAGAAGATCAAAGGGTTAACTTAATAGATGATACACTCTCTATCAAGTGTGACGTACAAATTCTAGTCTTTATGACAGTGATATGCTACTTTCCCTTATTGAAAAAATAAAATAAGATAAATTATAGGCATCAATTCATTGTGATTCAATCACTCATAGTGATTGATTTACAACTTCAAATGTTTTCTTCTCATGTGATAAACTTAGGTTTCAATCCAATAGATGACTTATTTTTTTGGGTATGTTTATTTAGAAGGACTAGATAAGGGGATAAAATGGGTTTCAATTTCGAGACACAACGCATTACACAATTGATAATTAATCAATCAAGGCACATTTATTGAAAAATTCAAGTGCAAAAATCAAATTGAAAATATTATTTTGAAATCAATAATTCAAAAAATAAAAAAATATTATTTTTAGTTTCTACACACAACCAGGTGCTGTGGTAGTTATTTACCTGGTTTGTGAAAGGATCGTATTAATCATTTTCTGGCAAGGATCTTCAACAATTATTTTCTAAAAAAACTCTCCCCACCATTCTCTAACGACTCTTCTCTTTATCAGATTCCGACCACTACCTTGGCAACTCTTTCCATCATCACATTATCGTCACCATTGTTACCATAATCATACCGCCAGTACTAACAAATTGTTGAAAAATAAAAATGGTTAAGAAAGTGCATTTTCACTAATTATATTCAAGCCCAATCTGATTATTACATAATTGGTTATAAACCAAATAATTTGGTCAAACGAATCATGTTTGGCTAATAGATAAACAAAGATTACCAAATAAGGCAGATAGATGCACCAAATAAGCTTTTTATGAATTTCAAATTTCGTAACTCCTACAAACCCTTTATTTAAGTGATTAACATATGACCATTCTCATTTGATAAACCAAACTAGTTATTT